TGACATTAAACGTTTTATTTTTCTGAAAGGCATTTTTTGAGTTAAAAAACTTCCTCAAAGCTGAATATACACTGTTATCTTGCGTTTTAAAAGTTATGAAGGTATTTATGCAAAGGGCTTTTACCAAACAAATTTTTATTCACTGATAAATCCTTGAAAAATAGGTACATAATAAAAATTTAGAAACTTTTAAATAAGATACAGTTACAAATATTCACAGAGTTGAATAGTTTACTCATTTTGCTAGAAGATAACGCATGTTTAATTGATAAATCACTAAATAAGAGTAAAGCTTATCAGGAAAAGGAGATTTTCTGGTTTATTTTACCACCTAAACATTTACATCTACTATTTAATTTCTAAATAGCAGATAATGGCCGACGGAGAGGAAAACACTGACCCCTTACAATCCGAGGATGCGGTCCAGACAGCCTTGCACATTTTGACAAATTCAATTCTTGGCAAAACTTTGGAGGAATTGCAAGACCTTGATGACAATCAAAGACATGAGGAGCTGCAGAGTTTATCAAAAGCAGCTACAGTGAAGGAAGACACAAAATCAAGCCGCATACGGTTAGCAAAAATCTCTCTGCTTATGAAGGCGGAATTAGACCGTTTGGTAGTGGAAAAGGGCGTGCTATTCAACGGATATAGGTCTGAAAAAGAGAGGTGTGACGAATTGATGATTGAATCTGAGTCGCTGCAGCAACACCTTGAGGCTGCTGAAGACCTCTCAAAGAAAGAGCTGTCAGAACAGGCTCAATCATATGAGGAGAAGTGTGCCGAGCTGATAAGTGAATCTGAGTTGCTGAAACAAAAGATTCAAACTGATAAGGACCTCTCAAAGAGAGAGCTGTCAGAACAGGCTCGATCATATGGGGAGAAGATTGCGGATAAGGAACGAGCGTACCAAGACGCGTGTGCAGATAACAATGAGTTACAAGCACGGTTGCAAACCGCTTTAAGGGAGCTGGCCGATTGCAAGGCAGAAAAGGGGTTAATAACCCGGAGTTGGCTGACTTTACAAGATGAAAATCGGTCAACAAATAAGCGTCTGGCAGCTTGTGAGGAGAATTTAGCTACAGCTACAAACCTG